GGAAGGAGTGTACTTTGCGGGGATCAGGGAATCGAGTAGTCAATGGGGGGGGGGGACTGCAGAGCCGCAGTGGGGTTAGCGCCTGCCCTGGGAGTGAACCCTGCTGCGGCTCTGCCTTTAAATGTATTAACAGCCGCCCCCTGCTACCCCTCTGCCTCCCCAGAGATGGTGCTGGGGGAACTGGCATTTAAGCTGGCTCCCCCCAGCACTGGCTCCGGCTCCCCCCCTCGTTGCCTCTCGTCGATGGGAAGTCGAGTAGTGACTCGACCGATAAGCAGATGCGCATGGGGTAGTCGACTGGGCGTCTCCATCCCCACGCTAGAGCCCAGGAAACCCGCACGGCCAGCGTGGGAGCGGAGGTGGCCGTTCGTCTCTTCACCATCACCTCGTGCCTGGAGCTGGGAGAACCAACCTCCCGGACACCCCCTTGGGCACCGCTATCAGCCCACAAGTCGCTTTCTTTGCCCAGCTGGCTTTCTCCAGCCGCTCCGGGCCGAGGGGCACAGTGGAGACCCCACGTCACCTGGAGTCACGCCGGCTCCCAGCTCTGCTGACATTCGTGACCGTTTCCCAAGGTCCAAAATTCAGCCAGTCAAGACGACGGGGGAACCTCTCCAGCCTGGCAACAGCCGTGCTCCGGCGTGCGGCCAAGTTTCCCGCAGTCCCATGAAGTTTGTTTACAGCCACCAGGCCTGGCTCTCAGTGCTCTGGGCTGTTCTTTAGCTCCAGTTTACCCCTCAGTGTCTTCTAAGAGCCCAGCAAGCCGTGCAAGAGTCGGTGATGCTGTCAGACAACAGTGACCTCCCGCGGTCCCGCAAACTCTCTGGTCAGGTCCCCAGGGTGCCGGACTAGAGAGGTTCAATCTGTAGTGCCTACCACGCAGGGCGAGATTAACAAGCACCGTGCTTGTGAGTCCTGGACACTGGCTTTCTGCGCAGGTCGTTTACCGCCTGGGCGCGGGGGTGACTTGCATCTGCGACAGCCAAGGGCTTTGCGTTGCGTGGTTCTTGGGCCGATTTCTCCCTCCGTCACCCCGCACGGGAATGGAACCTCCAGACTGCTCCTCCCTCGTGTTTTAATCAAGCCTGATAACGATCTTATTAAGCGCTAGCCACACTTCACGTCTGCGTCAGCAAGATAAGAACGCAGACGGCTGGAGCTGCAGGAAAATAACATTCCTCCATGTGTTTTAAATTGATTTCAAATGGAAAGGGCGGTAAGGGCCAAGCTGTCGCCGTTTCCTCCCCCTTTAGCGTGAATTTCACGTGGCTGTTGAAAGGTGCCCTGTGCCCGTGGCATCGAAGACAGGCCTTTTTTCAGGGCATCCTCCGCTGAGGGCCCCACCGGGAGCTACCAGCCAAGGGGTCGACACTCCCCATTTCACCAAGGAGCAGTGAGCGGCGCCTCAGGGCGGATGTAAGCTGGGAACAGTGTTACTGCTACCCCCATGAGGCACAGACACATTAAGTGACTTGCCCAAGGACAAGCAGGAAGTCTGTGGCAGAGGCAGGGCTGAGCGGAATTCTCCTTCAGAAGCAAATGGAGGGTCAGTCCTGCTGCTGGAGTCCGGTCCGATGGCTCAGAAGCGAGTCGCTGAGAGGGGGCTGGAAGGTTTGGGGAAGAGGGAGAGTCCGGTCCGATGGCTCAGAAGCGAGTCGCTGAGAGGGGGCTGGAAGGTTTGGGGAGGAGGGAGACCCCTCCCCCCCCCCCCCCCCCCCAAGGGCACC